TTGATAATTCGAAATTTGTATTCCAATCTTCAAATTGTCTCCAAAATGGAATTGATTTTATGCAGATGAGCATGAAATTGTCTCAATGCGAGTTTTGCATGTTGGTTGGTGTAAATAAATGTAACGATGTCTGGGCACGGGGACAAGAACAAGGACAAGGACGTGATGAGTTCGGATTTTCTCCGCTTTTTCCGTTTGTCTATCTGTGCTTTTTTTTTTTTTTCGTTGCCATTTTGGCCATTGTGCAGAGTGCATGCCGCATCAAAGATGCGACGTTTACGAATTTGTAATTCACAGCAAATTCAGCACGGTCTGCCGTTTGGATTTCGGTTGCCGAAACCGCATACATATTTCGTAGAACCCAAATTTATTACTTAATTCTCGGGGACGGCAGATGCCTCTGGCCGGAAAATCAAATCAAATAAAAGAAGGCAGCCGCAGTGGAAAAGCTCATAAAATGCTCCAAGAAATCCACTTTAAATATTTGGCTAACCAAAAAGTCAGCCCCAATTTCCCACCCCATTTTCCGAAGCTCAAACAATGCGCTGGCTTGCATTTCATTTGAATTTACAACTGTATTCGGTATTTGAACGGGCAGCGAAGTAACTCAGCCACGCCCCCTCCATAAATCGAACAAGGAAATGGAAATCATCATCATCAGCCATCAGGGTTATCATCGCGGAGGAAGCCAATAAAATGCAAGCACGAGACAAACACAAATCGAATAAAAATGCTTGGTGAAAAATTCGCTGTGGAAATTCAAAACTGGGATGCGAGAAAAATGTGAAAATGTGGAATGAAAAACTGTGCGCAGTCAATAGCCCCCGATATGTAAACATGGCCAACAAAAATATTTCAATATTTCAAACACGCAACTCAATGGCGATGTCGATGTCGATGGCAATGTCGATGTGGATGATGATGATGCCAACCCAATGCTGTTTGAGATTCAATGCGATGAGCTGGCATAGCAAACTTGGCCAAAAGGAAATTGAAGGACAACCGCAATTTATTGCTTTAGTGCCAGGGATTCTGACTTGGCTTCAGCTTCATATATTATCCATTCTATATTCTCCACTCTCCCATTTGGCTATACGCGATGTTATCGCTTTTCATTTGTTTGCACTGCTGAGTAATTTCTGTTTGCCATTGCTGTGTTGATGTGTTTAGCATGTCCTGCCACCCACAATCCAATCCGCCACCCAGATTTGTAAATTATATGTCTGCCAAGCCGATGGGGTGCAGATATCGTCCTTAAAGTGGCCAGGAAATTGCAAATTGCTGGTTAAGTTGCGTAGGCAAGATACGCCCTAATAAATATGTTACTGGTCGATTTCTTGGTCATTCTGGCATTCCTTATGTCTATATTTGAATCGGCGATAAAGGGAAAGTAATGGCCATATTGTTGGCAACACGCAAGGAGAAGTTTCGGATGAGGTATTCCTTACATTTTCAGATCAAACTCAAATATATGCTTGGCCTGGAATAAGCCCACTCAAACTCAAGGGCCATATCTCTTGCAGTTATCAATGGCTTCGCTTACATTTCCCATTTTGACTATCGTGGTGCACAGAAATCCCATGCATAAGTTTATTTCGCCTGGCCAACTTCAAAGCGTTTATAAATCATGTATGCAATTTTAATTCAAATACAAAAGAATTTCCAACACATGGCTGGGGCTGAATCGGGAGCTGCTTTGTTGGCATTGTTGGCATAAACCAATTGCAGGGGCCAAAATAGCGACGACTGCACAACTAATGCGCTCAGCGCGCACCGCAAACATTCCTCCCTTTCCGAAAAGCCAAAAACCAAAACGAAAACGAAAACCCGAAAGCAAAAAAACACATAGATCGGGCCAAGAGCTACTCGAGTTTCGGGCCAAAGGCTTTGGGAATAAAGCCAAAAAATATGCACTATAAATAACCACATTTGTATGAGTTTGTGTGCGTGTGCGTGTGCATGTGCGTCTATGCGAAATATTTTGTTTAACGTTTATAGTTTTATGCACTTAAGATGGCAAAATATTTTCTTTCTCTTCTGGTTAAATTTATTTTCGAGTATCAGGCACAGAGCTTAAGCCAGAAGCAAAACTTTTGCCTATATTTGTAAAAAATATATTGATTGGCCTGAGTCGAGGGTAAAGGGAGGAATATCAGAAGGAGGAGATGGCTTACATAAATGCATGTGCATACAGATTGTACTTATGCATTTATCCCTTCCTTAAGAGTTTTTCAAATTTTCCATTTGAGTTTTTGCTACACTTTTTTAGAAAGTATACAAGCTAAATTCTAGTATTCTAAAATAATAATACTATCATAAACCTATTTTTTTAACAATCAAAACATTGCATCATTTTTGAAGTTACTATTCTATTCAAGTAATACATACCTATGTATTTGTATTTTATATAGAATTATATTGAAAGGGTATATGAAATGCAGTTTTGCAAATCAAAGTTTTATGGTTGTCTTTTGAATCTCCCGAGCGCCTCACACTTCGTCGCTCAATTCTTTGGACAAACATTGGGCACAGCTGCTGCCACGCCCCCAATACCGATATGTCCCGCCCCCTTTGGGTGCTGCCGTCGCTTGCAAATTTTGCAAGCTTTTCGTGCATGATAACAACTGTGTGGCAACGCAGTTCGAGGGCCATCGATGCTCCTCCACGGAAATCTCTTGGCTTGAGGCACAAAGGTTGTGTTTGTTTTCTGTTAAATGTTCAAATATATTATTGCAGCCCCGGAGATTCGAGGCGAGATGAAGAGCAGTTGCAGACATTTTCGAACTCGTATTTACATGCAAGCAAGAAATTGTACACCTCCTCCAGAGCTTTGCTGTGTGTTGTGTCTGTATGTTAAAATATTCAAACAAAAACGTTATGAAAATATGAACTGTGATGTTTATCGATTGTGAAATATGATATACCATGGGGAGATGGTGGGCAGGCGGTCTCACAGGGAGTGCACGCACACTGTCCTGGCCTTTAATTTGTAAGCACAATCCTTCCCGACGGCATTCAGTCTCGCTGACAGGCAGCCCGGATCTGTATACTTCTGCACAGGCAAAAATTTTAAAGTGAAATGGATAAGTATTTCCAGCTAGACATCACTAATATTGAATTAAATAGGTATCTAAAAATGGGATTTTATAATTCACAATATAATTCTTAGACTACATTTTTTGTTACGTTAAATTCAGACATTAAAATATCAAAATTTAGTTAACTTTTAGGATTTTTGATTTTAGATTTAGAACGGACTTAATTGTTAAAAACCACCCATCTTTTTACATCTCATTGATAAGTAAATAGTTATTCAGCTTTCCCTGACATTTTTTTTTTGTGTAGCCACCTTTTCACCACGTTATTTAACAAAAGTGTAACTATGTACAGTCTCAATGTTTGTTCTCCCGTTTGTTGTTTGCTGGGCATGCCGTGTTTGTGTGTTTCTTTGCGTGCCAGCCAGAAAACCTTTCGCCTGACCAAGCCAGACGAACCTCAGCCCCGAGCAATTGCAGCCGAATTCCTCTGGTAGCTAATAAATATTAAACTTTAATTAAATATGTTTTTTGTTCGATGTTTATGTGTGCATCGATTGAATATCTCGCTGGCAATCGCATTGCAATTTCGCTTCTGGCCAGCCCAGCCATAAATTTGCAGCCTTGAAGCGCCAACGGAGCCAAAGCGCTAAAGGCCATTAAAATACGTTTCTTTTTTTTCGACGGCCACTTAACATTGGTGGGGGGAATAGGTAATGGGAAATGGGGGGACCACGGGGCTAAACTAAAACTCATATTAAAAATTGACTTTTATCGTGATTTACAATCAAGTTGGCCATTTTTAAATGCCGTGGTCGACATGCGGGCTTTGCCTTCCTGGCTCCGACTGCACTTTGAAAAAAATAGATACACACAAAGAAAATTAAGTACCACCACCAGCGAGTGTTTCCTCTTTAGCCTACAGTTTTCAAAAGAATATTCATTAAATTTCCTTGAATTTTTATTTTTCACGAAATGTAATTAATATCTTAAGCTATTTGAACCAATAATCGTATTTAAGAGTACTTCAACATATAAATATATATACAAAAATAATACGTTTTTGAATTCTTATTTTCCAGGAAAAGTAATCAGTAGAGAAAATAAACTATTTCCACTCTATAATCCTAATTTTTTAATTTGACTTCATTTATTTCTCCAGCAACGTATATAATAAAATATCTAATTCAATATCAATATTAATATTTAATATGTCAAAACAACTAAAGAAGAAACCGCTTCGATAGAACATTTTATTCCACGACTAAACAAAATTTGCTGTTTCATTATTATTTTGAAAAGCGCCTGCTAAATAATATTTAGTCAAAAGAGTGAACTTAATTTTTTCCGGAGTGGCCTAAACTGGTTGCCTAGTTGCTCCGCCAGCTTGTTGTTGCTGTTGCGGTTGGCCCGCACACTCACACACACACATATGTGGGGGGCGAAACAGGGAAAGGAGGGGTGGGAAGTAGTTCTATAATATTTATTCGTGGCTTAGATTGGGCGGACCAACATATTTAAGCCGAATGCTGACGCCCGATTCTCGAGCAGCGTCCACGACATGGCACGACACGTGGTTTGGTGGTTTGGCGGGGATATGGGCACCGGCTTTGAATCGCTTGGCAAATCCGCTTTTGCCACGCCCACCGATACACCCTCGAAGGCGATGGCCTGCACTGGATATATCTTTGCACTTCCATTACGAAATCCTTTTCTCGGCAATGGTTTCGGTTTTTCCTGCGCAACGCTTCATATTTTCTAACCCGTAATTTCATTGGATTTCCAATGTCGACATCGATTTTGCCTCTTGACTTTTACTAGGCCCTGAGAAAAGCCCTTTTTTGCACTTTATAACCTTTGCTTTGGGCTCAGAAGTGTATGATCATTAAGCAGATAACTCTAACCTTGCAGTTAAAGTTTTGAACTTCAAATTAACTTTATTTTCATTTTCTTCCTCTTTTGCAGAGACTGCAGAGTTGTCCGTGACCCGCAGACGTTGAAATCAAAGGGCTATGGCTTTGTCAGCTTTGTCAAGAAATCGGTAAGCTATGTCAGCAGATTTGCACATCAAAGGCTTCCTTCGCCGCCAATTAGAAATGTTTCAATCAAACTCGCATTAGTCGCTACACAAGTTTAATTTTCTAAGTAAGCACACACACAAAGCACCTGCTCATAACGTTTTGGTTTTTGGGGAAGTTGTCAAATGAAATCTTAATTAAAACAAGTGAAAACTTTAGCTGTCGTCCCAGAAACCTAACATATCAAAAGACACCTGTGGCTTTGCCATCCTTTTCCCAAGCCCCACACTCAAACAGAGACACTCACATATTCACCCTTCATTTCCTTAAGATATACATAAGCCAAGGAAAAGCCAAACGAAGCGCACACATTTTTAAGATTTAATGCATTGTGCTTTTCCTCTTCCCTCGCTTAACTGCCAAGGGGCGAGTATTTGATTTTATTCTCTTCCTCATGGACACAGTCGTATATCAAAAGCGTGTGCGGCTCACGAATCTGTAATGTTTTTTTATGGCCACAGATGCAGCGAATCTCACGGGATCCCGAGGCTGGAAAAAATACCCAAGAAATACACCCTGGGGCCACTGTAAACATTTACACATCATATTCAATATGTTTAAACCGCAACTGATAAGGGTCCAAACAACTGCTGGTAGGACTTCATACTCCAGTGTGTGTATGTTGTGATTGAATTTCATGTGCCTAATAGGTAGAAAATTCGACACAGAGCCATAGAAATCGGGAGACTGGAACTTTTCCTTATGGTTTATGGGAGGTCCTTGTGGTAAATCCATTTCAAGAAAAGCTTCTCTGTTTAAAGAAAAGTGTTTAAGAAATGACAGCCATTAAAGATTTGCTTTAGAAAGTGTTCTTGATGTAAATAACGTGTTCTTTATTCAGCCAGTTTCGTATCGTTTATTTGTATTTCATATTTTTTTATTATCAATTCACCTTAACTTGCTAGAGAAATTCATAAATTTCCAGGCATAAACAGGGCTTAAATCATCAAAGACGGCAAAGTTAAGCCAACCGAATTACGTGTCAGTCAGCCGAGCAGAAAAAATGCGCAAGCTTAAGACTTAGAACCCAAAATCTCACAGCCACACACGGTGATATACTGATTTATACTTTTGGGAAAAGCCAAATCAGATGCCGGAGAAGGCGTAAAAGCCAAAGGTGCTGCTGGTCAATTAGGCGGCAAACGCTCAAAATTATTAATTAAATTTAAATGCTAATACCGTGAAGTGTGCGCCAGACATGGCCTAATAATTTGGCAGGCAAGCCAATGATTTGTTTGACATCGAAGAGAGATGAGCGCGGATTAGCGTGGAAATGTGTCGTGTACAAATACAACATAATCTCTGACACTTGCCTGCTGCCACGCCCCCTTTCAAGTTCCGCCCAGATGCCATCTCTATATATGTATATTTAATCCAAAGTCGAAATTTCAGCTGCGAAGCCCTTGGCAACTGACTTATTTTAGTTGGAATTATGACCAATGCGGCGTATACTTAATGCTTTTTCCCAGCTAACTAGTTAACTTTTTGTGCTGCAAGTAGAGAATGGGATGCCAATTTTCGAACTTTCTCGATTAGTTTCGATGCAAACGAAAAGAGGAAGCAGAGCAAACACACAAATGTGCACACACACACACACAGCCCAAATAGCAAACTCAAATATTTCAAATTAAGTTTCTCGACATGCGTTTTGTACACAGAGCCGGTACGCCCTAAGCCGCCACGCCCCCTCTTGTCCCCGAACCGGCGTCGCTTGCAGCTGATTTAATGCAAATTTTATTTATGCGAAAAGTTTTATTAAATTTTTGTGCAAAGTTGATATTTTCTGTGGTTTTGCGGAAATTGAAAAGTTATTTTTCGAATGGCTTGCTGCGCTCACACTCAAACTCACTGAATACTCATGTGTGCAGTGGCAACTACAAGCGGAAAAGGAAGAAACAGTTTTCTTTCATTCAGCACTTCCGTTTGCCGGCGCATGAAATTTTGCCAATCGCCAGGGCTTTTGCATTTGCGTTTGCATAGAGTATATAGCATAAAGCCATTGCCAAAATGCCAGATCCGCTCAACCATCTCGAGAAATATTTAACGCAAATTGTTTGGCAACATGTTTTAAATAAACACCACTACCAGAACGTCTCCTCTGGCTGGCTCCCATTTTTGATTTCATATTTTTTTTCGCTATCCTTTGCGACGCATACAAATTGCCATAATTTAATAACCATCAAGGCAAGCTGAACATTTTTGCATGGGATGTCGGGAAGACGATGCCTGTCTGCGTGTCATTAGCATCATAAATCACAACAACAACGCCGGCAAGTACGAAAAAATTTACGCAAACATTAAACGCAATAAACATGTCGATGCCAGGCGAAGAATACATTCAGAAAAATCATATGTCAACATCAGTGGCATTATATTTTAAGAAATTGTTGAATAAAACCATTTTTATTACTCCTGAAATACACTTAAAATATACTGAGCATTTAAAACACTACAAATTTAAAACCTTTTTAATAATTTTACATATTTAACTGTTTTAAATTTTTTTAAAAACGTAAGAGATTTTTCTTTCTATGTAAGGGTACTTCCTGCTGCTTAAGCCCCAACTGAAATGCTAATGTCTGTCGTCAATGTCAACGGCTTCTGTTATTGTCACACAGCCGAGGCGTATTAACATATTAGTGCATACTCACACGGGAAAATAGCAAAAAGATTAGAAAATGCAGTAAAAAGAAAAAATCACCGGCTGCTGTAAATTGAGTGGCTTTTCTTTTTGACACAAAACTGATTTGCCAACGTTACGGAGACAATGGAAAGCTCAGGGCCTGAGATGCATTTAATCGCATTACTCCCCCCTGTCTTCACTTCGCCTTTTTCACGACAGATTTTTCGTTGTATAATGCACTTAAATTTATTTAAAAGTTGCCACAACAAAGAGGGGAGGATGGAATGAAAAAAAAATTATGCAGGACGAGAAGGCAAACGAATTGACAATGTGTGCAGCGAACAAGATATAATGTCGACTTCCCGGCCACGCCCCTCATTCTTTTCATCATCTCCTTGCGCAGTTCATTGTTGCATTATTATCATTTGTTCTTATTGTTGTCGCGCACAGAATGCCTGTGGTTAACCTCGCACCACCCAAACACCCAACCACCCAAACCACCCACTTGAATGCCAGTTGTGATGTTTCTTTTATGATTTCGCTGCGTGTTGCTCCTGCTGGCTGCCTTGTCATGTGCATGTGCACTTAAATTAAAAGGCATTCCGCATACATTACCCTTAATTTGCGATACGTGGCGTCTTGGCAGCGCCGAAACGGGAAATATCATCAGCAGCTAGAAGATTGATTAACCTTTTTGATGCTAATTAATATTGGACGAATATTTAGGTACTTCCTTAGTTATTGAAAACAATTGCCTCAAAAGCTGAGGCATATTCTAGTTTAAAGTCTTATTTCATAAACATAAGCCCATTAAAAAATGTTAAACATATTATTGTTTTCTGCGCTTTAAAATAATATTTTATACCCAATGCTAAAGGCAACTCAATTAGGGTCATTTAAAGTAACATAATTAAGGTTTGTTTTATAAACAAAAACACATTAAACCCATTAAAAACTGTTAAGCAATTTATTGGTTTATCCGTGATTTTATTTAATATCCATTGCTAAAGCTAAAAGTGGCTCTCCTAAAAAGGCAGAACTATTTAAAAACCAAAATAAATCAATCAAAACTTAATTGACTCAAACTCAAAAAGGGCAATTTGAAGTAAACAAATGTATTTGTAAGGTTTTATAGCCCAAAAATCAACCATTAAAGAACTTTCAATTTGAACTGCACTAAAATCTTAAAGCTTGATTTTATCTTGGTTTTACCATTACAAACTCAAAACTAAATCAGTCAAAACTTAATTGACCCTGATTTGTGACAAAACATATGCAAAAATCACAGATAATTGATCAAACAGATTTCTGGGCAATTTTATAATTTTCTTAATTTATTTCTCTGCAAACCTATCTGCCCTTTAAAGTTGCTTCCCCACTCAGCCCTAGTGCTTTTCAATTTATTTAATTTCAAGCCAGGCAATAAATCTGCTGAAGCGTACAAAACTTGGTTATAAATATAAATGGCCTGGACATTCATTTTATGCTTTCCATAATATTTCAGGAACTAGTGATTTGAGGGCGATGTAGGGACACTACGGACTACAAACTGCCTACACACGCATAAGCTCGAAGGCAGTAGCTATAAAAAATGGGAAAATAGAGGGGCGTTTTGGCCGAATGGAAAACAACGGACAGAACTGACATACATACATAAATAAATCCCATGGAATTATGCCTTGACAAAAATGCGTTCTAGCGTGAAATACTGATTTTTTGGTCAACAACTTGCACAAAAACCCAAGCTCCAGTGTGTGTGTGGTCAAAAATCGAAAAGCGTTTTGGGCCTAAGCGGAATGAAAACAGTTTTTACCGTTGACTGGGCCAGACAGATTCGAAAGATGACTGGGCCTTATCTTCTCCATTCGATGGCCACATCATCATCATCATCATGCCAAGCCATCATCATCATCAACGTTAGAGAAGTCGGCAAATGGAAGAGCATTTCCACTGAGCAAACGATTTGCCACTTGAGTTATTTTACAAATATCAAAAAATCATCATCGGAACTGCCTTCTGAGGGGGAGTTTTATCTGACCAGCTTTAATATTCAACTTGGGGTTCCTTTTTGTTACTTCTTTCACGCTTATCTAAATAGCCTCGTTAATGAATCTGACCAGAGAACAAAGCTAAACCGACTTAGGAGTTGGGATCGCAAAACCTTTTAGCCCAAACCAAAAAAAAAAAAAAAGAAAAACTGAGCACTAAATACTGGGCGACTGCTACCTTTTTAAGACAAAACGGTCGCCGAAAGAAAAGCCAGAGCCAGAACCTTCTTATTTTCCCTGAATGCGTCCATGTGTCGTGGTGTCTATGTGCAGGCGGGATTATCCCCTTTTTGTGTGCCTTTTTTCACCTTCTTTCGGTACAGTTTTTCCTTTTCCGCCCGGCCTTTTCCGTTCTTGGCACAAACCATTTCCTTATTGTTTTAATAAACATTGAAAATGTCTTGCTGTCTCGGCTTACGGTTGTTTTTCTATGTATACTAGTACACACAAAACATCAGCCGCAACCAGCGGCAGCCCCCATTTTGTGGCCATAAGATAAAGGGCTCGATCCCGGCGAGATCCACATGAAAAGTATGACAAAACCCTTTTAAACCACTTAAAAATTCTTCAACTTACTTTTGCTTTTCTTCATTCGCTTAATGAAGGTATTTCGCCTTTTTGGTTCCCTCCCAAAAAACTTTGCTAAGCCCCGCCTCATTTCCGTTGTTAGCCATGGTCCGCAGCATTAAAGGCTTCTGCGCCTTATCAAGTAATCAATATTTACAAAAGGTTTCGGTCTCAGTTGACTTTACACAAGTTTCGCTGCAAATTGAATCTGTACGCAACGAAAAATGTTCTTAAATTTTGAGAGTCGCGAGCGGAGGAAAAGTTTTTGTCCACCAGCCATGTCCATGAAAATTAATTAACTTATACCGAAAGCGGAAGTTGTCATTTAGGAAATTTTCCAGCGACAAGGAAAAACTTCGACACAGGCCTGAACTTTTAATCAAAGGGGAATTAATTTGTGAACTGGTACAGAAAGAGGAACAAGAGCGATACAAAAACAAAAAAATGATGACTAAGAAACTTAAGCTTTTTAATATAGCATAAATTCGATCTGAAAACTAATAATTAAGCTTTCTTTTAGACACATTTATGATATTTTCTTTCTGTGCAAGGCATGATGGTTGTCACAGCGACAGACCGGAAAAACGATTCAAGTTTTCCCCCTATTAGCTGCAAATTTGCCATTCACCATTAATTAATTTCGCCCAGGCAGAACAAAACAACAGCAAAAGCCGCACCGCACCGCACCGCACACAAAGAAAATGTGTCGCTCCAACTGCCAATGATGCGAGAATGGGCCAAAAACCCAAAGCCTAAGCAGTTTTCATTGTCGTCTGTCTACAACTTGACCCAATGCCGTAGATTTGCAATTAGCTTCGACGTTCTTGCCAACAACAGTTTTGGTTTCGATTTGAGCTTGAGTTTTGGCCCAGGACTTTCATAAATAGTTTGACAAGTCGTAGTGGGTGCCATATTGCGGTTGTCGAGCTTCAACTTGAGCAAGATGAATGGCCAAATTACTCGAGAGACTCTTAAGCCCCGAAATTGTGTTATAATCAACTCATTAGGGGTGCTTGGAGATTTCCGAATTGAAATGGATTGACTGTGACCTGGAAATTCACGCATTTTGCACCTTTTTAATGAAGGTTGCGGAAATACTAAAATGGTAAATAGTTCGGGCTTGGAGAAAAGTATTCTTATACTCATACGAGGTTAAATGGAGTTCTCGTGATGTAATAGGCTTTTCGTAATAATGATTTTCCTCATAACTATATAGAAAAGCTAACATTTTGTATCATTGTAATAATTTTAAATCCATTTTTTGTACTCCCAAACTAAAAATTTATTTTACTTATTTTTGGCCACATTATTCTGTTAGCTTTAGTTTACTTTTTACAAGAATCCACTTCCTGTTTTCTAAGCAATTTACCACCAAAATGATTGATAAAGTTTCCTAACTTAAAAGACTTGTTAAAGCTGGTAGAAAACTGAAAAAACTCAACCGAAAATGTCCGTTGCAGGATGGACAAAAGTTCGTGTGTGTCTGGACTTGGCCATTGCATTAGCCATGGTAAAAGTTGCACTAACAATCTCCGTCTCAAACGCCTTCCTCTAATCCTCACACAATCATGGCCAGAACCGTACGTTTGTTAAGACAATTTTCATTGACACATGCGATTGCAATTGGAATTGGCAAAGAAGGCGGGGCAGCAATTGCAACTGCCCTCTGTCTGTCCTTTGATAAGTCCTGGATGATGTTTCCCGCAGCGAAGGCAAAAAATACCAGGTTTTAAGCTGCCGTAAAGTAAATGGTGAAATATTTAAATAACATTTCATGCACGGTGGTAAATCGCAGGACGAAGGGTATTGTTGTTTGCTGGACTTGTTCTTGTTGTGGTTGCCATTGTTGTTGTTGCTGCTGTAAGGGGGAACGTGAGTGTATATGTAATCAACGATGCGTATCGCTTAAAAAATGTAAAATTTATAGTTTATGCAAATATGAAAAATGCAACTGGCAATGCATAAAAATGCGCACGCACGCAAACTGAGCGACGTTGCCCGGGAACAAACGCACACTTGCACACACATCCTGCAAACACACACAGTTCACACACCGAAGGCACCCTCACACTCAGACACACACACACACACACATATGCAGACATTAAATTACGGCCAAAGTTGGGCGACAGTTGCGTGGTTTATCGCTGACGGGGCAGGCACTCAATTGTTGACTTTTGCTCAAGTGGTTAAATTAAAGGTCCAAGAAAACCAATACACAGCAATTTATGCTGGAGGAATTAAAGCCCCATGTAAATGCCATTTTACATTCGACAAATTTTATTATGAAATTACGTTTATTGATAATTTTCTTAACGAGAAGTAATCGGAAAATGGTCGAGTTATGAGAATGCATGGGATGTCGTAATTTACAGTTGAACAAATGCGAGTTTTGAATTATAAGTCACTTCCATTGAACTTTTCTCACGGGAATAAATTCTTGATTTAACTGGAAAATTAACTTGAGCTCATTTCTATTGTAAATATTTTAAAAATAAATGTATGTATATATATTTTGAAGCTCAGTTCCTAGGAATATTAATCCACTTAACAACTCATTCTACTAATTTTAAAATCATTTTTAAAAGTTCATTGATATATATTTGTTGTATCTGTGTCAATCAGTCGCTTTTAATTTTTTTTTTTTTAAATTTGTAAATACCGAATAATGACTCATTATTTTTATTTTACATGGTATGTTTTTAGCCAGGGATATTCAACTTAACATTTCCATAATGCAATTTTATCTGAATTTAGACTTGACCTTGGAACATATTCTTTTGTTTTTCCTTTAAAACACATCAGCTTTATCAGTAAATTCGATACTTAGTAACGGAAAATGTTGCAAATATGGATAAACTTTAATAGCGGTTAGCAATTACAAACTCCCTCGAATGAAATCTGCTCTTGAAGCCCCTAGAAAGTTTTCCTCTTACGAAAGTTCGGATCTACTTTCGTTTTGAAAACGGCGTTTTTCAGCCGGTGCACGTCAACGCTGATTTCGAGCGTTGCACGTAGCCGCCACAAAGAGTAGGAAAATTAATGGAAAAACAGGAAAAAAGAAAATGAAAGACGAGGGGATAACAAGGTGGATGGGTGGGCTGTTGTAGGTGCCTAGTTACAGTTGCTGCCAGCCGCATTCGTTTCCGGATACGGATGTGGATGTGGATTCGACTGTGCCGCCATTTAAAGGACGTGCAACGAGCAGCTGCAGCGTCTGCAGCGCCGCAAATACCATTATTGCATTGCATTGCTTTAGCTGCCTCGGTCTTTTAATGTGCCGCAAGTAAATTGCTATGAAACGCCCACCAAGCACACACATACTCAAACACACACCCCTCTTAGACACACACGCACACACCATCACATAGAAAGTTGACTGCATGCAAGACCTTCTGGCAGTTGCAATCATTTCGGCATGAATCACGTTTGATACGCACGAATTACCTTTTATGCGAAATTGAAATTATAATTTGTGCATGGCCTTGTAAATGCTACGTGCAGTGCCACCGCCCACTTTCCACCTTCTTTGCCTTACTTTACTTTACTTTGGACACACACAGCCAAGAAAATCAAAGAGCAGCAGCAACAATGTCGCCTGCTAACCACAAGGAGCAACTTTCCAGCCATCGCGATTGTTTTCCCTTGTTTTTTTATTTTTTTGAATCTGCCATGGCACTTAAAGAAATCATATAATAGTAAATTTTAAGACTGTGGGATAATAAAACTGTGGGAATAGTTTAAAAGAATTTAATACATTTTTTAAACTACAATCATTCGAAATATATCAAGACATTTCCCGAAAAAGAATAGTATAAACAAGAATTTAATTGGGAAACGTAAATATAAAAAAATCATAGTAATATTTAAAAAATTTCAAGATTTTTCTGAAAAAAAATTAAATTCTAGATTTGTATTAGAAACGTAAAGTTGTTATGTTCAAAGTTTAAAGCAATTTGTGTACCGTGTCTTAAACATAAACTTTTAAAATATTAAAACAACAAAAATCAAATATAATATATTAAAACAAATAAATCTAAGAGACACTATTATAATTAATAGTTTTTCTAATATATTTATTATAAAGAATATAACATTACAAAAATATAAAAAATCAATTATTAAATCACTTGCCTTTTTACTGCCATTATTCAACGATTTTTCAATTTTTTTTTTCAAGTGCGCTGCTACTTTTGTTGTTTTTTCTCAACACTTTACAAGCTGTTTGTTTATAAATTTTGGGTTGGCCTCGCTGAAAAAGCAGGCAAAGTCTTAGCAGCCGCTGTAAGCGGCTTAAGCGGCTAGACAAACCCGCGTAAATGGGATGGGCTTTTAGCTAATTGCGCTCTCCATTTAATTTGGCTCGTTGCAGGAGGCGGAAACCGCCATCACCGCAATGAACGGGCAATGGCTGGGCTCGCGCTCGATACGCACAAATTGGGCCACACGAAAGCCGCCGGCAACCAAGGCAGACAGTGAGTATTTCGTCCCCCATCGAACATCTCAATCCATCGCAGCATCCCGCATCTCATTGTCATCATATCCGCTCGTTGCAGTGAACGCCAAGCCGCTGACCTTTGACGAGGTCTACAATCAGAGCAGCCCCACCAATTGCACGGTCTACTGTGGCGGCATCAACGGAGCCCTATCCGGCTTCCTCAACGAGGAGATACTGCAGAAGACCTTCTCGCCCTACGGCACAATACAGGAGATACGGGTCTTTAAGGACAAGGGATATGCATTTGTGCGGTAAGTGGACTGGCTGGGAGTATGTGCACACAAATTGGGGAAATATAGCAGCTTAAAAGCCAAGTCAACACAAGCTGTTGGTTAATATAACATTTGTGTAAGACCACTGTGCGTATGAGTCATTTTTAAATAATTTATTACTTATCCGTACCGTTATTTAAGTTAGACAACTATGCGTATGAGTATTTAAAAGACTTATGCCCTAGCTGAATAACTTAAAATTATTTTGCAAAATGTAAGCAATTTGTATTGGGTATTTAGTTTTAACTTAACGTTGTCCTTTGTCTAATTAAAATACAAATGTTATTAAAATATATATGTAGTCCGTAAAATTTTTCGTAGTTCCTTCCATTAGTTAAGAAAAGAAATAACGATCCAGCAATCGCTCAAATAATAGAGCAATCAATGAACAGTCTACCTCCGGTCGCTTTTTCCCCTTTCTCTTTCTGCCCTCAAAAGTGTGCTACATTAACCCTTTGTTGTCCGCCATTTTGATTTGGCTCCTGTGTGTGAGTGTGAGTATATCTGTGTCTGTGCGTGTGCTGCGGTCGGTGGTGTCAGCGTCATCGCAGTATTCCCATTGACGTTGTCGCCTAGTGCACACACTCCATATCAATGTGTGTGGCCCCCATCCGAAACCGTCCGCCGTTAATAAATCAACAACACATTTACACTAGACAACAAAAACAAGCGCTACAACAACGAGAGGCAAATTTGAAGTAACAAACAGAACAATGAACCGCAAAGGCAAAGGGCAAAAACCAAAAAAAAAGCTACCAACGAGCAAAAACCCTACTAAGGAGTCGTCGGTGCTGGTGGTGGTGCAGTGGTGCCAGTGGTGCTGCTGGTGTTGGCGGTGGAGATCGCAGCTGCCGTCACGAATGCTGATAGGGTTTTAATGGCAGCCGTTGGCCCACGACGGACTGAGTTCACCCCACCGAAACCAAAAGGGGAGATACGAATAGGATTGATGCACTTAAAAAAAATGTTGTTATGTGTAATCATGTATTTTAATGAAATTAGGAATTTAACAATTTTTTATTGATTGATAAGCGAAAATCGATTTTGATTTATACTTACCTTTAATATTAATATATTTTTTTTTTAAATTTATATATTCCACTTTAAAATGTACCTTAAAAAATAATTTCAAGTAACTGAGCCATTGATATCTTTCATGGTATATAAAGATTTTATTGACTTTAAGATTTTAATATTTTTGAAATGCCGTATAAACATGTATTTGACCAGCTAAGAATACTTTTAAGCAAGTCGGCAATAGAAACTATCTTTATTTATCTTATTTTAATAAAATATTAATTTTACTAAAACTTGCCAATTATTATTTGTAGTTTAACATAGATCGTTGTGCAAAATACTCCTCAAATATATTTTTAAGTGCAGCCATGAAGTGTGATGAGAGCGAGGGGCGGGCAACCAACGCATTGCAGTTGCTGGCCATGTCCATGGGCGCCTTTTGTGCACTGCTCCAAAACTCATTTGTGTGTTGCAAACGTGATGCTAAAAAAAATGGCGAAGGGGAAAACAAAAAGGAAAGCCATGGAGAAAGTGAGTGAAAAGGGGCCGTGGCGAAGCAGAGGCATTGTTTGGCATTTTGTAACATAATGAGCTCGGGGACTACAAGTGCAGCAGCAGCTGTGGCAGAGTTGCTGCATCATTATAACCAATCCAGCAACAGCGAAACAATTCCACAGACGCTTGTACCACTTTTGCGCTTTGTTGCCGCAGCGGGTTAAGCGGAAATTAAACCAGGCCAATCCGCTTTCTGCCCAAAAAAAAAAAATAAAAATATTTCCTTATTGTAATAAAAATATTCCTTTTAGATTTTATGTATACTTTAAAGGGTATTTTAATTACAAAAAAAATGGTAAACTATTACCAGAAGTAACTATTTTACTTACTATTTTTTTAACAGTATATAAAACTACTTTAAGTTTTACTTTATTAAGAAAAGTTTTGATTATTTTCACATTGCTCATTTTTGATTGAAAGAAATTATAATTATTGTTAGCAAATATACATTTTCATTGGTTTAGATAAAAAAATATTAGGGATTGAGCGTTAAATTTTGAGATTTATATTATAATATATATTAGGAATTGGTCTACAAAATTTAAGATTTAGGTTAAGATTTGATTAAAAGTTTTGTATTTTTTTAAACAAAATTTTAGGAGCTTACCCACAAAGGACTCTTTTTCTAATCAAAAAGTGTACATTATTGATGTTTAAAATCGCATATCCTTTTTACTGTACCCACACAGCTTCTCCACCAAGGAGGCGGCCACCCACGCCATCGTGGCTGTCAACAACACGGAGATCAACCAGCAGCCGGTGAAGTGTGCGTGGGGCAAGGAGAGTGGCGATCCCAACCACATGTCGGCCATTGCCGGCGGGGCCTTGGCCCAGGGATTTCCCTTCGGCTCAGCGGCAGCGGCGGCCGCAGCGGCCGCTTACGGACAGCAGGTGGCCGGATACTGGTACCCGCCGGCACCCACATATCCGGCGGCAGCCCCCGCCAGCGCCCTCCAGCCGGGCCAGTTTCTGCAGGGCATGCAGGGATTCACCTACGGTCAATTCGCCGGCTACCAGCAGGCGGGATATATGGGGTGAGTTCCGCCACTCTCTCTCTCTTCCACCAAAAATAACCGTATATCAAATATTTGAAAATTTACCAACCATGACGTTTTTTTTCTGACAAAGAACATTTACCTTCATTAAAAATCTTATTAAAAATATTCCAAAATTCCAAAATCTATACTTATAGTCCTAAAAATAATGACTAAAATATTTTGTTTCTATAACATTTTTTCATATTTAATTTTATGACAAACCTTATTAACAAAAGGTATTATATTATAATAACTCCTTTAAAACGTGTACATTTAATGATTAACTATACTGTAAATCTATTGTTTTACAAACTAATTCGAGTCTTACATTTTTATAATCTAATAACCTGATCTCATAGACTTCCTTTTACACATTCTTTGTATTGTCCTATATAAGATTTTGAGATTTAACATTATTCGCAATTCTTTTGCTTAATAAAATGTTAAAAATTTTAGATATTTTTAGTCTGTGTGAAATCATTTCTCCTTGCCGAATTGTGTATTAATTATTTCCTTTGTATTTTTTCTCCATTTCAGAATGGGCGTCCAGCTGCCGGGCACCTGGCAGAGCGTGCCGCCCCAGCCGCAGCTGGCCAGTGCAGCGGGGGCCACCGCTCCGCAGATCACCCAGAGCGTGGGCAGCGCATTGCCTCAGGCGGCCGGAGTGGTGGCCTATCCGATGCAACAGTTCCAGGTCAGTCCGCAGGTGAGTGCACCCCATGGGGATTTTCATTTGATAATCGGTGCCTAACGATTGTGAATCGCTTAGCTGGCGGAGGACGAGTGGCTGGCGCCCAGTCTGCTCGTGTAGCTGCCATGAGGGATGGCCATGTATCCCACACAGCAGCAGCAACAGCAACAGCAGCAGCAGCAGCAGCTGCAGCAGCAACATGAGCAGCAGACGTCCGGGGAATATGTGAAGGAGCCACCCTACCAAACGCAGCAGCAGCAGCAACACCACCAACTGCAGCAGCAGCACCACCAGCAGCAACACTATATCCCCCAACTGTACTATCCCTCGCACTGGGTGCAACAGCAACAGCAACAGCAGCAGCAACAGCAACAGCAACTGCAGCAGCAGCAGGTAGCAAACAACGAGCAACAGCCACAGCAGCAGCAGCAACAAACCCAGGTTTATGGCATGCCCGAAGTGTAAAAAGAGGCAGCATTATGTAGTAAACAAAATCCAGCCCTAGATTAGGGGGAAATGCAAGTGCAACAGCAGCAACAACCACACAGGCCAGCAAGTGCAATAGTCATAATCCAAGTTGATCTAATCAATCGAAAAACCGAAATGGTTAACCCGAATACCAAAGTTATGTATGTGTGTTATTTGTGTCTATTTTTGGTGCTGCTTTCCTGCGGTTCGGGAAAGTCGCCTCAGTAAGAAAAACAAAAGAATATAACGACAGACAAAGAAAAACCAAAAGCTCTAAACGTATTTTAGTAGGTATAACAATATACACGAGTATGTAGGTATGTATATACCAGAGTAAGAATAGAGTGGGTGCTATTTAGAAAGTGGTTATGATTTCAAAGAGGGCTTATGTTTCATATAGCAGAAAAAGCGTAACAAAACAGAAACTAACATTTAAGTGTAGCCTAAGAAAACAGACAAAGGTTAAGAGGAAAATGTTTCGTTGACTGAAAATTCATTTGGAAAACGTGCCCCATCATCGATGTGCAGTTCATAAAACCGATGATTTTTCAATAGATTCTATTACGATGATCATTTCACCGATATATCGATGTGCATAGGACTAAGAACTAGCAAGTAGTCATTAGCTTCTATCAGTTGATTCACGATTATGAGTGTTTATCCAGCATTATCTAGAGAAATATCACAGCAAATGTACTAACTGAGTTAAACACCGACAGCTAAGCCAAAAAACCAAAAAAAAAGAAAAACACTCACACAAGAAATCGAGTAGATAATTGCACTGAAAAAAAAACCGAACGGATCGATCGCGCCAGAGAATATATAGAAGGACCCATGACTAGATAAAACTATATATCCTAAACGATATCCATAGAAGAGGCTACTACACATACACACAGGCGCATGCATACGCGTGCACGCACACATACAAACACATAAGGAACCTTAATCATGTATCTGTGTTTGTGTAACGTGTAAATGTATTAAGGGCAACCTATAAGAAAGTAAAAAAAAATAGCGAAATATTTAGACAAGGACATGAAAGGAAAACGTGTAGCAAAAGCAAAATACAAAGAGTAGTCAATGTTTAGCTAAGAATCGTAAGAGTAACTGTAACTGTAACACTATACACTAAAATGTAAACCTAAACAATTATTTATGGTATTTACAAAGATGGCAAAATGGCTAGGTCACGAAAAACGAAATTGAATACAAATTGTAAACTATTTTTTACATACCAAAGAAAACCAAAACGTCAAGAATAAGTAATTCGAAATTGAGGAACGGAAAAAAACTTATAAATCAAAATTAGAAAACTTTCAATTGGGTAGTCGGTAGTCGAAGTAGAGCCAAGATGAAGCGAGTCTAATTTCTATAAGTTGTGATGAGAGCAAATCGGTGTTACGGATAAAAGAAACTGATTTATTTTTTCAACTTGGCAGAACGTGTTTTTTTAGAGCCAACGACAAACTGTGCATCGCCGAATGCATCACTTTACATATATACAAATCTATATATATACACCTATATATATATATATACATATATATACTAAATGTTATTTGAGCAGACAAGAAAACTGTGTGTCAGAGCAAGCTATGCGTAAATATAAATATATAAATAATTAAAAACCATATGGAGAAACCAATGAAAATTAAATAAAATTGTAGCTGAACATATGTTGGAAATGTTGGAAAATTATGGTAAAATTACGAAATAAATATAATGAAATGGAAGGAAAAGAAATGCAAAAAATCAGAAATACTCTACGACATATACATAATAGCATAATTATATTTAATTATGTAAACATAGTTACGGTGTAAGCAAAAGGAATATAAATAAATGATTCAATGTTGTGTATGTACATATAAATATATTTGAAAAAAAAGATATATATAAAAACACATATAACTAAAAACAAGAAATATGTGCGCATAACAAAGGCAAACTAACAAAAAGGAAATTGTATTAATATTTGCATATAAATGTAAAAAAAATGCCGAGTGCAAACAAAGCTGCAGAAGTGCAACTGTTTTTGCAAAAGGCCCAGTGTAGACATATGATAGATCATAAAATAGCGCCATCAGACCCAACCAACCAACCCAACTATACGGCTATATAATTGCATTTGTGACAGCAGCAGAAAAATCCAAATACAAAAAAAAAATGCAAACATAAAAAAATGAGCAGCATAAAAAAGAGAATTATGAAAAGTGTGCGAGCAAAATACCATAATTATGTTAAGCGCCTATCAAAAGCCTATCCAATTCAATCAAAACCGAACGAAGCCCCCGGAACAAACCTACAATTACACATACATACACCGGCCCACACCGACACCCACACCCACACAAGCACACTTGAGTGTGTGGCTGCAAACACGTTAATATATGCATAGAAAATGGCGCTGCCAGCGATTGCAGTGCAAGAGAGAAATAATCAAATAAAATGGAAAATGTTAATCAAAAAACAGAAAAACAAAATTAAAAAACAAATGATTTGACGTCTTTTTATTTTTCTGGGGGAATAGCTCTTAGGACTGAAAACAGCGTTTGGAACCGATTAAGAAGGGAATGAGAAAATATTTAATTATAGATTTTATTAACTGAGTTCGCTGGATCAACCGAAAAACATCTTTAAAAGCCTTATATTATAGCTGGTAAAATTAAAATATTTTTTAAATAATTTAAAGTTGCTAATATTTGGTAGTTATTTTATTTATATTTATATTTTATACTTATAATTGTTTACCAACTTAGAGCCAATCTTATTTCAAGCTACTACTTTTAGGAACACAAAATGTTCTATAAATAAATGTTTTTAAATATATAAACTTCCATTTCCCTTACTAATAAAGCTTATAATTTTTATTTTACGTTACCATCTTTTCATTGCCAGTTATCCAACAGAAATCGATGTATTTCCATGACCTTAAAATTATTGGTAATTTCCATTCAGTATTGCGTAAAGTTATTTCAGAGCGATAAACTGAAAATGAATTTGCAATGCTAATTGGGAATAAGAGAAAAGCTGCTCCAAAGTCATCCACCCACAATCGATCCCCCGGAACAACAATTTCGGAGCAACCATTTTATTTTTCAGCAGCCCCGACACTGCAATCGTCGCATGCCAGTCACGTAAAATCAAAATTTTCCCCCATATGTGAGTGCACAGGGAAACAGAAACACAAAAGAAAAGAGAAACACTCGCAATGCGGCTCATTGCACAACGGGAACTGTACAATTTCAATATTTTACTGCATTTTGCACTTTGACCGTGTCTCTGGGCCTCTGTTATCCTGCTGTTCTACTGTAGTGCTGTCCTGCTGCCATGTCCTGTTTAATATGCGCGCCCAAAATGGCACAGCGCCGAAATATAAATAAAACAAATAGGCTTTCCCCCCCGTCGACGAACTATAAAGTGCACATGTTACTCATACGCCCCGTTGGCCGCACAGAACGCAACGCATTCGGCTCGAAATCGGGTGCACCGTAAAAGGGGAGGGTCCAAAGTAAGGGTGAACTGTACTTCTTAACAAACACTTGACTCACTTTACAGCAGTTTTAGTGGATAATTCTTTATACTGCCGCTTCCATGCAAAATATTCCGCAATAAAAACTAAGCGCATAAAATTTCACTGCATCATGTAGTTGCTCCGGCTTTTGTTTCTTTTTTTTTATACCTATTCTTTTCCCCTGTACAGTGCATTAAGAACGCCAAAAGGCAACTGCAGAAGTGCACCTAAGCTGACAAATATAAAAACTCCGAGTTTGCATGAAGACTTGCCGGGGCTTATTACGATGCGGGAGAATCCTTGCAGCCATCCAGGACCTTAACGATGCCTGACTGGGCTTCCTTTGTCTTTGCTTCCATTCCCTAAAACGCAATTCACCTTCCACCTTTTTATGCTCTTTTAATAGCACTTGTTTAGCAAGCAAACAACGCTTGCAACTTAAAAAACTCGCTTCTGCCCCCTACACACACACACACTAGCTTCAAATTTTTATAGCAAAAGTTTGAGTGTTTGTCTGTTTTATTAACCGTGCCTGACTGCCTGACTCGACTCCTTGGCGCTGCCAAAGTCAAAAGCCCAAGTTTTGGTTCTGTCTTATTCATAACACTCATACACACACACATACACACACATGGTTAAGCTGCATTCATGCTGCGTCACCAGCACCACCACAAAAGCTCTGGCACAACATTTTTATGTGTGTGAACCATCTTCGGAGTCGGCTGCTGCATTAATTGATTGCACCCTGTCCCTCTCGGTCTGTCTTAAATAAGCACAGAACGAATATAAGACCCCATTCGATTCAGATTTTATAAGCTTTAATTTTTTGTCAGGCGTTTTTAGAAATTTAGAAATTGAAGTACCCTTGAAGTCTATAGAAATCAAATGGCTTAAACCTTTCGTTAACAAGAAATTTAATCAAAGTGACATTTAACACAGATAGCAGACACTTTATAATAAAAAAGGCATTTCTTCCATAGTACATGGTCCTTGTTACTTGCTATGTTTTTAATTGAGGAAAGTCCCTTTTTTTAATATTTAGTTTAATTATATCTTTAAGAAAAATCAACTATTTAAAGTACGCTTTTTGCAAAGAAAAAGTTTTATTAGACTTTTTAATTTTTATGTTTATTTTCACGTACGTAAAAGAGAATAAATGGGCATTTCAATTTTTTATTAACATTAAAAATATAAAATTACTGAACAGCGTTTGAAAAACA